ACGGCTCCCGGGTTTGCCCCCCTGCGATGGAAGGAAGGGCTTATGTGGCCTTTCTGCTTCAGCGCGCCGTGTGCTGATGAACGGGGGTCTGAGGGGACCCCTCCGCAGGGCAGAGCACCCGCCCTTTGTTCTCTCCCGGCACCTCGGTGTTGTGCCCTCGGCACAGTCTGCCTGTGCGTCGGCAGCGCTGGCAAGCCTCTCCTTGTGGGGTCAGAACATCTTTTACAGCTGATATTCTGGGAGTCACGCTGCTTCGGCTGCTCTGCTTTTCTTAAATCTCATTGTATTATCCGTCTGGTGCAGTAGAAGGAGGTTGAGGGGGTCCTGCTGGAACACGTCTTACTGTGCCACCAGCCTGAGGAGTCGGTGATGTCTCAGACTTCTTGTGCCTTCTGCAGGTATTGGCTCCGTGCAGCTACCTTGGCAGCTGTCGGTGTTATTAGGGTAACTAGCTCCTCTTTTTTCACAGTCAAGGTGCAGATTATCCCCCTTTTAGGAGCGGGGAGTGCTTCTTGAGGAAAGGAGGAGGCGGTGATTTGCGGTTGTACCTCCCCGCTGCCTTCCGCAGAAGGCTGATGAGGATGTGGTTCCTCGGTAATACATGTTGAGGCGTTTGTGTTGCAAATAGGGGGGTTACAAATTCTGGCCTTTGCTCCTTTCCCAGTCTGTAATTTCTGATTTCTTAATAGATTTTTTTTTTTTGGATCTGCGTTAGAATTTATCGCACGAGACTAAAAGACTTATAAACTGGCTGTTTCCTTCCTGCCTAATTTGCTGGGATCCCATGCTCTCCCTCAGATGCCTCAAAGCCAGAGGAGCAAGAGGGCTCCCTGTAACCCCCCCTTGAGGCGGTGTGGGCCACATGAGCTCTTGTTAACAATGTAGGTGTGCTCTTTCAGGGGTTGCTTCATGCTGTTTTCTCTGGAAAAGGCTCCGTCGCGGTGCCGAGACTCTTTCCTTCTGAAAATGGCTTCTCCTTGCTCTTTGCATAACTCTGGTTGCTGATTTCTTTGGTGTTAATCTGTTTTCTTATCGAACTTGGTCAGGTCTCGGTGACCTACCAAGAATTGTTACACTGCGCTAACTCCTTAAAGCAGGTTTTAAGGGCGAGACTTCTCCCTCCATTTTCCATCCCCTCGCTCCTGGGGATGTTGGGGTTTTTTTCTGGTTGCTGAGTCAAACCCAAAAGGGATTCTTTCCAGAACTGACCACCTTGTTGGCAGACTTGAGGGGTGGGATCTGATGCTGGTTACCGCCATCCTGAAGCCAAGCGTCTCTGAATGCAGACTAGTGCAGGAGCAGCATGGAATCCACACCCCCTTTTTTTGTAATAAAGTCTCGAAATACTTGAGGCTTTCTTTAAAATTTATTTTGTCCTTCCTGTCCACTAAACCAGACCGAGCAAACAAGTCTGCTCGGTTTTTTCTTCCTGGCCTAGGCCAGTGCGGATACCTGAGTGTGCTGCTGGGATTCCCGGTTTTTCAGGGGAGTGCTGACACCTTATGTTTGTACTCCATCCCCACCCCCAGATAATTGCCGCAACTCGTAAACGTCGGCTGGGGCGCTGCGCGAGAGCGTCCCCGAAGCCCATTTTAGGAAGACGGTCGAACACGGTGCGTCTGTTTGAGCAAGGTGAGGGCAGCCGAAGACAGAGCGGCCTCTGACTAAGCTGCCAATTAAAAACTGGATGTTCCGCTTCCCCCTGGGGAGGCGCAGAGGCTACTGGAGGTGTGCTTCCTCGTAGAGTATCCGTGAGATTTGTTTTCTTTGGATGGGTGACAGAGCGCAGTGCTGACCTACCTGGAGTGTTTTTTGTACCCAGGGGAACGTTGTTTGCAAATCTGCGTGTAGTGGGTGAGCCGAGCGTTGTGGTTTTGCGCTGCGCTTCCGCGGGCTCCCTCCCTTTCAGAGGCTTCCTCGGTGGGAGGCGACAGAGGGTTACCTCAGTCCTCGGCAAGCAATTTCAGTTTTTATTAAGCAGGCACCTGATGCTGGCAGAGCTCGTCTTCCCCCTGCGCAGGGACAAGTGGTGTGAACTGTACTGGACAGGCTGTTGGCACGGGTGTGTGTTGTCACCCCGCCTGCATTTCCTGCCCCCCTCACCTCCCTCCCGCAACTGAATTAAACTGGGATCTTAGGCTTGTAGCTAGGCAGAGCCTCAACTGGGTACACTTAATAAGATATACGCCTGCCAGTCGAGGGGATAGTAAACACAGGCTGGCAGCTGGTGCCTCGGCACCCTCCCTCGCTCCTTCTCAGCCCTTCTGCGCTCCTGCCAGCAGGACGTGGCACCCGGCCTCCCGGAGGAGAGGCTGGCTCTGCCATCCTGAGCACAAGCGGGTCCCTGGACACACTGCCGAGCGAGTCACGAGGCTGTTCCAGGTGGTTGCGCTTACATTCTGGAGAGGCTGGTGCAGGTGAGCCGTGCTGGAAGCAGCTGAACGCCAGGATGGAGAGAGGCGTGTTACTGTGCTGAAATAGCTCTGCCAGGGCAGACGGTTGGCCTGCCGGGTTTCGGCAGTGGTACTTGGCAGCGAGGTGCGTATAATCTACGTGCGGGTGGTGGCTACGCCCTTATTTCTCCTGTTGAGGAGCAGGGAGACTCTTCCATATCAGCATCTCTGTTCTGAGGGCCGGCAGGTTGGGGGTGACCTCCTAGAGAGCTTCACCGCTTGTCAGTGTTTTTGCAAACTGCTCGTTCGGCTTTTGTTAATGGAAAAGTGCGGCTCTTTGTCTCAACAGGTGGAGAGGAGTTG